ACGCTCAACATGGTGCCCGGCTTCTCGGTGTACGGCGAGAAGCGCGTCACGGTGACCGAGAACGGCGTGAAGCAGGAGTACCGCACGTGGAACCCCTTCCGCTCCAAGCTGGCCGCGGCCATCCTGGGCGGGGTCGACCAGATCCACATCAAGCCCAAGTCCAAGGTGCTGTACCTGGGCGCCGCCTCGGGGACCACCGTCTCCCACGTCTCCGACATCATCGGCCCCGACGGCCTGGTCTACGCAGTCGAGTTCTCCCACCGCGCCGGCCGCGATCTGGTCAACGTGGCCAAGACGAGAACCAACATCATCCCGGTGCTGGAGGACGCCCGGCACCCGCTCAAGTACCGCATGCTCATCGGCATGGTGGACGTGATCTTCGCAGACGTAGCCCAGCCAGACCAGTCGCGCATCGTGGCTCTGAACGCCCACACGTTCCTGCGCAACGGGGGCCACTTTCTCATTTCCATCAAAGCCAACTGCATAGACTCCACCGCGTCTGCAGAGGCTGTGTTTGCTTCTGAGGTGAGGAAGTTGCAGCAGGAGAACCTGAAGCCTCAAGAGCAGCTGACCCTGGAGCCTTATGAGAGGGACCATGCTGTGGTCGTCGGGGTCTACCGGCCCCTTCCCAAGAGCAGCAGCAAGTAGCAGCCAGAGCAAGCTTTGCCTACGGTCTCCCCTGGACTGTTGTGTGGGGGTGTTCTTACGTATGTTTTTGTGTGTGCGTGTGTGTGTGTTTTGTTGTTTTTCTATTAAACAGGATAAAGAAACAGTACCCAGTACACTTTAGTGAGGCCAGACAGTTTGCTAAGATAGCAATCAATCTCCCAGCCCCAGAGGCCTGAAACAGCTGTGTTTCACAGTTTGGGAATGGTGCTTATTCTCCTCACCCTGTGACTCTCCAGGGCCCTGTTTTCACAAATGCATCTTCTAATTACAGGGGCAGGAGAAAGGGAGCCTGGAAATTAATAAGCTTTTAAAGTTCCCCTTGGAAATGATGGGAGTGCTTCTGTTCATATTGGCCAAGTCCCATTACCAAGCCTGACTCCAGAGAAGGATATGGGAGAGTGACACATTCTGTCTGACTCAAAGCCAGAATCCCAGGCACACTTGCTTTTTAGTATTTTATTCTCTTCAACTGAGACCTTTTGCATTCACTGTTACATTTAAGCATCACAAGAGCCCTGAGACCACTTTGTTTACCATTTCCATAGTACACGGGGAACAAGGGGTTTCTGGAGGTAAACCAGTCGTCCAGATCTGCACAGCCAGCAAGAAGGTAGAACTGTGGGGTTCCAAATCCACTGCTATTTCCTCAACACCTGCAGGTTCTTTCCTCCATGACATGGTGCACATTGGGACACACACACACAGCAGGGCGCTGGGCCTCATTGTCCCCCCACCCCACCCCAACTTCACTGGGCAACTCCTTTCCATGGTTTCACGGTAGCTACATAAGGCAGGAGGCGGGATGTGGGGCAGGGCATAAGATACCCAAAGTGACATCATCAAGGGCTTGCAAAACAGCCAGGAAGACCCCCAGAGAGTATCCAACTCCAAAGGATACAGAGATTCAGTGATTGGATTTTTGGCTCTCAAAACAAGCCCAGAGAAGCAGAAGAATAAGCCAGGAGAGCCAACAGTGCCCCCAAAGCCTGGCTCATCCCCCACCCATTCACCCCAAATCCCCATAGCCAGTTGCCAAGGTCATCAGCATTTAATCATGGCTAACTGGGGCATTACTTGGGGGTGAGTTTGCCTTCCTAAGATGTGCTGGGGCCAAGGTTATGGGGAGTCTGTTTTTTCCCAGGGCATATTTTCCAGGGGCGGAGGATATTTAAAAAAAAAAAGAGAGAGAATAAATCAGACGTTTAAGAAGGCAGCTACCTCTCTATCCCCTGCCCTCCAAACCAAACTTCAGGGAGAAAGTTACAGTCAGATTTGCTGGCAACATGGACTCAAGAAGAGAGAAAAATGGGGTAAATACCTGCAAAATCCCAAGTGAGGCTTTTCCATAAATAATAGAAATTTCCATTCCAGCTCTGCAAAGCAGAGACCACTAGTCCCATTGAAGAAATGCAAAGAACCACAGTTCAAGATGAGATGACTTGCGTAAGTCCCCAGCAAGGCACACAGCCAGAAATAAAACCCCTGTCAAACCGACTCCAAAATCTGTTCATTAAAGTCTATACTGGTTGCATTGCTTTGAAAAACCCTCTCTGCAGTTCAGCCTGCTTACGCAGTAGCTGGGATGAGCCTTGAGTCTGGGATGGAATCCCCTTCACTAGGGGAAAGTGACAGGAGCCTTTGCTACACCTGGGACATGGGACTCAGACTTCCTCAGAGCCAGCTCAGCCTCCAGAAGGAGCTCTTGGTTCTTCCTTCAGGGTGCTTTTCCCCAGGACAGGACATGCAAGAAGGGACATGTGACCTCTTCCCTGCTGTGGCACCCTCCCCCACATATACAATTTTCAGTCTGTGTCTAAAGCTGCTCAAGGAAGAAATGGTATGAAAACATCCTCTGAAAGAATCCCCCTGAAGCTGGTTGTGGTGGCACAGGCCTGCAGTCCCGGCAACTTGGGAGGCTGAGGCAGGAGGATGATTTGAGCCCAGGAGCTCAAGGCCAGCTGGGGCAACATAGGGAGAAAAAAAAAATCCCTCTGAGTTGCAGAGAGTTCCTGGAGCAGCAGAATGGCATGGTCAGTTCAAAGAGAAATACAGAAATGAGGAAGGGAACACAGATGGAAGCTGCTGTGTTCAAGTCCCCTTTTAGTAACTGGGACCAAAATATCTGACAAGAACAACTTAGAGGAGGAAAGGTTTATTTTGGCTCAAGATTTTAGGGTCCGTGGTTGGCTGGTCACATTGCCGTGGGCCTGAGGAGAGACAGAACCCATGATGGCAAGGGATGCAGAGGGAAGCAGCCATGAAGGAGAGAGAAGGGAAGTGGGTGGGGGAGAAGGGGCCAGGGGCAAGACCGAGTCCCTAAGGGCATGTCCTGGGCACTTGCTTCTTTTAACCATTCCTCACCTGCCTGTAGTTTGAAGACACTCTTCTGCTGTACTTGGTTTTCTCCCAGTCATCCATGTGGCCATCACTGGATTAATCCACGGTAAGGCCAGAGTCCTCATGGGCTTCCCTTCCCCAAGGCCATTCCTGAACCCCGCAGTATCCAGGACCAAGCCTTCAACACATGAGCTTTTGGGGGGACATTCCGGATCCAGCCCACAACAGCTGGGGACAAGATGAGATTGTAATTCTGTGGGCAGTGAGTCCTGGGGATCCTAGATGTCATGGGGACACCAGGTACCCCATCTGCTCAGAACCAGGAATGCTTCAGTGACCACCTGCTTGGGTTCCCAGAGGCCTTATATTTGGGCCTCTAGGTGTATCCACTCTGGCTCTTGTAACCACGTACCACAGAATGGGGGTCTCAAGTAACAGACTTGTATTTTCTCACCATTCTGGAGGTCAGAAGGCCAAGGTTATCATGTGGCAAATTGGATTTCTGGTGAGGCATCTTTTCCTGGCTTGTAAGTGGCCACCTTCTCATGGCATGATCACATGGCATTGTGTGTGCGTGTGTGTGTGT